ATTAAATTGGGTAGGAGATATTGACTGTAGCTCATATGAGCTGCAGTCTAAACTCCTTCAAAGGGGGGTTATATAGGGGACTACTCTATGGCTTATTAAGGGGGATACTAGGAGTTTGGCTTATAACTCATATAGATAGACATAGGAATATGCAGGGTGGAGGGGAATGGGCAACAAAATGGAAGCTGCCGCTTCATTGAGGGTTTCGGGTCAACCCTAAACCCTAAACCCAAACCCCAAAACCTTTTCGGGTCTGTTGGCGTAGGGGCCTGATTGATAAGAATGATGGAAAATCGAACGGAAAAGAACACGGCAAGGGAAATGGAAGCAAAGGGTTACATAGTAAATCCTAAATTATCAGGACAGGGTTTTGGGGTGTATAGTAGGCACTCGTTACTGGTTTGTAAGAATTGCAAGGGATGAATATTCGTAATTTTCAGGCATCTACATGAGGTAGGTAAGACCAAACACGAGTGTTTTCAAGGGTAGTTACTACTATGAGATATTATGAGAGATTAGCTGCGTATAACTTGGTTTCCCGTATCTAGCCCCAAATCTGTAGATAACACCAAGATTAAGGTTTCGGGGCACTATCATTATCATTTTTGCTTGTGCATGCATGTTGGTGCTTTGCATCAGGCCTTCCAGAACGAACCATGTTAGTATGATGAAGTATTATGTGTGCGTGTTTTGATTTTCTAGTTCCGTATTGTCTTCAAGTGGGCTGACAAGTCACAGAACCCGAAACTTCAACATGGGCATGCGCCAAAAAGGACCTGGGGAGTTTACCCAAGATTCGGGTCTATCCCTCCGGGGGCCCCCAAATGGGTCCCGAATGGGAATCCTTTTGAGACCGCCCGAATAGCTGCTCACGTGAAAAGCATCTTCACATGTGCGAAAGATTATAGCTGCCTTGAGCATCCCTTCCACACAGAAACAAGTTGAAGCAGACAAGCGCCCTAAGCTGCATACACTCACCTGTATGCATGTTGCCCCAAATCCTATAAGATTTCGTGTCAACCGTTTACCCAAAAGCTTAAAGAGTTCCTTCCTGAGGTGACAAGCGCTTTCACCTGGTTGCAAACTTTGTCCTTGGAGATTACCAGGCCTCGAAACCTGAAGAAGCAGTGTTCTATTTGAGGATACTAAGGGTTTAGGGTTTAGGGCGGTGGATACTAACAATCCTGCATGACTCTAATTACCTTAAACCTGCAAAAATTCTGGCATTCTAGTGTACAGGTTTCATGCAGTATTTTTCGTATCAACAGTAGAGTTCCCAATGCAAAGTAAGGTTACATTTTCCTTTTAGGTATGGTATTTCAGAAGAAGAAGAAGAAGATAGCCTTACTAGGTTCAACTATCAACAACGCTATTCGCATGAGTTAAGGGCTTCGGGTGAATCAAGTGGCACTCCTTTTGAAGCGTGCCCTTGTTTAATTGAGCTTGTTTGCGTACAGGTAATTCTAGGGTGTGAGTTTCGGGCATTGCATATCCCGTCAAATGTGGGACCCGCGAATCTTTGATAGTGCGCAGAAAACATCCACATAAACAACATGAGGGCACCAGAAATCCCTGTAATTGAGTGATGTCTTTTGGACCCCGTCGGGCTTGAAAGCCAGCATGTATGTGTGTTTGTCAATCAGACATGTACTGCGCACAACGGCCTGGAGTCAAAACACTTGGAGCCTTGGCGGGGATTGCCCACTTCGAGCTGACCTGCCCACGCAGGCCATCATGACCATGGCCTTGAACTCTGACGCGGCATGGTTGAGCGATGAAAGCTCACCGCAGCATCTGCCCCTGCAAGCAGTACTTATCTTCAGCTAGCCAGTTGAAATTATTGTTCTTCAAAATCTTATGGCAACATCCAACTCGTCATTGCCTCCCCACGTCAGGTCGCGCGTTTGGACGAGCTTCATGCAAGGGGACGACGAGAGCAGAAGCCTGGCATGTGGAGAGCTAGGTCAAAACAAGCCAGTTCTGATGGCCGGACTGACGGCAGCCGATTCCTGTGAACAGTTAGGTATCAGGACGAAGGAGCCATCATCCTGCTAATCCTAGGACGACAGCGTGTCAAGTTGATTCTCGCCGTCGAGGAGGGCCCCTGGCTGGTTAAGAAGGCTTTCATCAAGAAGCCTATGTTGCTCCCCGGCGCGCAGAAGCAGAAGGGCGGCTGGGGGGGTTGTCGGGCCTTATCCATGTGGGCACATAACCCACAAGGGAGAATCAGTCGGGCTTTGGGGTTTCAGGCCGGCCGTATTCAGGCTATTGCCTTCCCTGATGGACCTACACATTATGGCTGTTCCTTAGTTTGTGGAAAAAGCCTCTGGCAGCGCTGTGTCTAAGGATATGCAAGCTGCTACAGTGCAAGTTTCACCACAAGCCTGACGATTTTCTGGAGATCGCGTTTGAACGAGCAAATGGTGCAACTGTTGGCTGCTTGTCTGCAAAGCCCCATGCAGCAACAGCTTGCGAGGAGCTTCAGATACGCAAGGCATGATGCCAGCGGCTAGTGTCGCTGGAGTGCAACTTTCACCGACATACCCCCGAGATGGAATACAGCGCCGCAAGGTATGGAGCCCTTACCCCAAGCAAAATCAGCCAGGCGTTATCTAGAAGCCGGAGACCAACAGGAGCAATAGCAGGCGCAGAAATAGCAACACAGCACTCAGAGCAAAAGTAGTGTTGCGATTGCGTTTATGTGCATACAGGTAAATGTATGAATCAGCAGAAAACGTTTGAACAGAACACCACCAAGCCTGACCGTTGTCAGCTTCATGAGGCTCTTTTTGCCCTTTACATGCGTTGAGTTTCAAGGGATGCAGAAACGTAGTTGCTGCACGACAGGCTGCACAGAATCAGTGTTTGTCCTGTCAAAAAATCAGGCCCATGGCAGAACAGCCGCAAAATAACATTAATAGTTCACAAGACTTTGCATGCATCTCAGTGAAATAGCTGACCCGCAGTGTCTGTTCATTCCATTTTGCCGAATCATAGAGTGTTGCAATCTTGGTGGCAATTGCCAAGATCACTGTCCCTGAAGCAAGGTCTGTTGCATCAGGAATATAAGATGACAAAGAGATGAGCACGCGTGAGCTTCGTGCATAACGGATCCCGTGTCATTGAGGAGTGAACCCTTTGATGGTTGTTACCAATGCATATCAAATACCTCCTCCGTGATACATCTAACATCCTTTTCAGTCTATGTATTTTCCCGCTTGAATCTTGAACACACCCTGGGATCCCAAAATCACCCAAATGAAATTCCAGCAGATAATTACAATGATTTAAACTACGCCCTCACCCCTAGCCGTACACAGAAACTGTCTAAGCCTAAGCTCCATTGTAGAATTAGTTTTGCAGATCCAGACTTTGATGAGCCTGCCACCCAAGACCATCAACCTTAAACCCTTCACCCTAAATCCTACGCCCCAAAACCTTGAACGCTTACCTCAGGTCCTGAACTCCAAGCCCTGTACCAGTAGCCCCAAACCCTTAAACCCATTCAGCCCGAGCCCTAAACCCACATCCCAGGCGTGGTTCTGAACTCCATGCGCGGAGCCGTCCTGAGCTGTGCGCTGCTGCTGGAGGCGAAGGCCTCTCGGATCATTAAACCAAAATGGAAACTACAGGGATTATCGGGGTTATATAAGGGTTATATAGGGATTATAGGGTATATTTTGGGTTTATATTGGGATAATGGAAAAGAAAATGGAAACTACTACAATGGGTTATAAAGGGTTTAGGGCTTAGTGTTTAGGCTTTGAGGCATTGGGTTTAGGGTTTAGCATTTCGGGTTTGCGGTGTAGGGTTTTGGGCTTGGAGCTTCGGGCTTAGGGTTGATGGCCACATTCTTGCACGACCTTGTTATTCACTTGAGCTAAGTCTTTGGAACCGTGGCAGTAGGTCACGCAGGGTTTTCGTCCATCGACTACTGTTGATGTACAAAATCCTGCGTGACCCTGAGTGCACCATAATACCAGAAGTGGGTTTGACCTGACCCTCCTGGCAGCCCTGAAAAAAATCCCCGTTCGTGGTGTGTATAAAGAAAATTCTTTCTATGGTCAAACCTGAACCCCAAGCCCTGAACCCGAAGGGTGTTGTCTTTTTTGAGACAACTCATGCTGCAGACAACGTGTACATGTTTACGAGAATGAGGGGCCCCTAACGCAAGACGAAAAGTCTTTCACCTGCGGATCAATTGGAAGAAGTCCCCGTCCTAAGAGCTACCAGTTTCCAGCAGCCTTCAGATCACCCCAAGACGTTCGTCACAGATCCAGAGAGAGCTGATTACTCTGCAAAATCCTTATATGCAACCTTCTTGAAGCAATCCTCCAACAATTCTCGAGAAGGATCCTCACAATCGCCTTCAGACCCAGATTTTTCTTTCTGAGGTTTCCTAAGCCCAAAGGCTCAGAAAAAGTCATTTCCCAAAGTGGGAGCCCACTGACGCCTCAAAGTATTGTCTGCTTGCATATTCTTCCTATTAACCAGCAGGAAGTTCATTTATCCACGGCTTATGAGAAGGAGAATTCGGAATAGATTTTAGTCGGCCCTCAGGAACCTGATGAGCTTCCGGAGACCTGGCGATGTATGCGCACCCGTGCGTCGTAGGATCGAGGGTTTAGGGATTATAGTCCCCCTTCAGCAGATAATATGGCTTCGGGTATACTATAATAAGATCCCCATACACCCCGTATTCTATCTACTAAAGGGGGACTATAATCCCAATATAGACCCTATTATAATACCGTAGTTTCCATTATCCTTCCCGTTATCCCTAAAACCCATATAAAACCCAATAGCTTATCTACTTAAGGGGGACTATAGGGTTTAGAGTTTGTTGTGTTTAGGGTCGAGGCTTGACCTTGATGTAGGGTGTCTAAGATGTTGGGTGTTGAGTTCATAGTGAAGGCTTGGGGCTTCAGGATTTTTAGAGCGGGAAGACGAAGTAACACAGGTTTCTTGGCATGGTGGACCCGATTCGTCGTGTCCGAAAGTCCTATTCGATCATCATGGGGGTGGATGGCGGAACCGTGATTATAGGAAATCCCCAAACCAGGAAGTTGTACAAATGTGAGAGTTAGCATGCTTCAGAGCCCCCCGAACTAAGGAACACTTGCTGGCAACTGCAGTCGCCAACTACGTGGATCCCGCGAAGTTCTGCCATCCAACGAGGTGATATGCTGGGTGCACCAGCGCTGCTGTCAAGAAGCTTTTGAAGCCTTACAAGTTTGGGGCTGATATTCGAAGAGGCTCCCTGTCTTGGGGTGGCTCTCTGTCTTGGGGTTGCCATCATAATTTGCCTATTTGAGTGGGGTCATAAGGGAACTTCCTTGTGATAAAATGCTCTTACACGGTCTTCGATCAATCGTTTGCGCATAGTGGACAAGAAGCTTGTGCTCTCAATGACAAGTTTGGTCTGGTCTTGCTGACTCTTGCAAGATCTTTCGCGGTGCGTCTGCGAGTACAGCTGCGCGGCACAGGGTAACCAGATGTCCCTCAAAGGAGAGTTTCTCAAAAATTGGGACCCCTATACTCTGTACATCCCCAAACTTATTGGGGCTTAGTAGGGAATAATGGAATGTAATTCCCATATGATCTCTTTGCAGTATGTTCCCCCGGCAACAGGCACATGCTTTTGAGAAATCCTCCATGTACAGAATCGTTTCACACAACCAAAAAGCTAAACCCTAAACGTTTCACTTTGTGCGACTCCAATCGTCCTGGCTTCTGGACAATGACAAAATCAGCCGCAATGTTGGAAGCTTGCTACCTGGAGGGTCAGGCGGACTGAGTGAGTAGTGGAAAAGAACAGGAAAACTACTTTGTAACATTCAGGGCTTCGGTTTTAGGGCCAGGGGGACTTAGTAAGCATGCTCAAAACTTATAAGCCCCCATAAGCCATGTAGAGTTGTGTCTGAAGTTGGAACGGAAGAGGTAAGATGTCTTCCCATAGGTTCTCGTAAAAGCTGTCTAGGGTCCCTAGCTGTGAGTCCTGTTTTGAGACGAGGCCAAAGATTGAGAAGCTCGCCCGCCCAGCCGGCACCAACTTGCTAGCTGTGGCGTATTGGATCATAAGGCCTGAAAGGTCCGATTCGAAAACGCCAGAAACTGCTTTCGCAGATTTCTATAGATATATCATAAGTACAATGAACAGCCCTGTATAGACATGCATGTATATACGTATACACATATCTGACCATAATTGAAGAGATGTATATTATGTGGGTTCCTCTCTCTTAAAAATACGCCTGATGCCAGGCGATATCCTTCAGCAACCCATCCGCATCACGATCGGCGAGGTTGGCCAGGCGAGACGTCATGTAGACAATTGGGACTATATGAAGTGGCGGGGGCTGAGGGGGGCGCCGCAAAAGAGGTAAACTAAGATACCAGGTTCAGGAGTGGGATCAGACTGTGTTGGGGGAATAGACAGCTATTTCATGACAATGGGGGGTTTTGCAAGTGCAAGGTGAGGGATATATCAGGTTGAGGGCTGGGAGGATCATTGCTAACTAGCCCAATGTTTCAGGTTTTTAGGTATGCTGATCTGTTGTCTCATACTGTAATTCAAGAAGCAGCTAAGTGAGGGAAGGTATAGTAATGTTAACTTTACGAACCATGTGCTTGCAATGGTATAAGCACTACATGGGATTACGGGGGGGGTTGATTGACCCCTGACTTTCCAGAACTGGCCTAATCAAAGCCCAAAGTCTGTATCCGCAGTACAGAGATGGAGCCATGCATGTTGTCACATGAAGCTATGGCTCTTTGACAAAAAAGGGTCCCCCACAAAAGAGCCCAAAGATGTTGAGCTCCTGACTATAGGGGTGCATACAGCAAAACGACCCTGAATCTTGATAAACCCTCAGATTGCTGCTAGGCTTCGCAACCCAAAAGCCTCACTGCCCATGTGGCTCACGCTTGCTGCGAGAGGCGGCTGCCAATGTGCAGCAGTTTGTCGAAGTCCTTAAGAACGACGATGAAAAGTGGGCGTCGGTGCTCAGAGAAGAGTCGAACAGCTCTTTCTCCAAATGCAGTTCCCCCAAACATCCCTCCAGAATGGTTTGGTCCCCTTCCTAGGCATCTTCAGAAAGGCAGTGAGTTCTCCATAAACAGGAAAGCTTGGTATCGTCAACATAAGCTGTTACGTTGGATGAAGGAAATCTTCCACCACTTAGGATCTCAGATGTGCTGCAATTCCACGGGTGTACAGTATGTACGGTGGTGCAAGATTTCCTCCATGCGCAGTACCACTACCGGACATGCTAGAACAAGCAGGAGCCTCCAAAAACAGGCCTTGTTTGCAGGGCTCATCTTTTTTGACGCATTTGGCGGTCTCCCGACAAAATTCCATCAAATTCTCTCTTTGTAAGCCATCTCAAATCCGTGGCCAGATGCAGTTCCGTCGCAAACCTGCAGCATTAAACCCGGGCTTTAACCCTACACCACACCCCATGCCCGCCTGAACCTGAAACCTCAAACCCTAACCCCCAAGCCTAAGCCCTCCTAAGCCTCAAATCCTAGATCCTACGCCTCTAAACCCAGACCGAAACCCCCTTTAAAGAAACAAAAAATACATATATATATATATAGAGTCCCCCTTAAGTACATAGAATATGGGGTATATAGGGATCTTATTACAATATAGCCAAAACCATCTTCTATCTACTTAAGGGGGACTATATACACATAAATCCAAACACGCTTTAAACCCTAAACCTTTAACCCAAGGCATGGCTCTCAAAGCGGGTTGACGGTATGCTGCAGAAGGGTCAGGCCTTGGTCTTGGTTCTTGAATGAGGGGACCTGGTCCCCAATGGGGCTGCAGGACTGGTTGCTGTTAAGGAATCTAGGAATGAATATATTCCCTATATAAACCCTGATATGACATGTTCCCTTACTCCCTACTGAGAACCAGCAAGCTGAAGGTGATGTCTTTGTGGTCCTGTTGTGCTGCAGTGCTCACAATGTTGCGTAGAAGAGATGGGTCGTGGCTCAAAACGGCAGAAGCTGCTTGCTCAGGTTTCATGGATCTCCCTGTAGAACTGCTGTGTGTTCATCACGTTCCACAGCCTGAGACAGCACCAACAATATGTCTCTACAAATGCAAGGCCAGCCAAGGACCTTTGCTAGCTAACATCCTAAGAAGCATCGCCATTCCATGCATAAAGGCTGCTGAGATATGTAGTTTAACTTATTTCGGGGTGCCTGGAAGGACCCAAATGTGGGAAATGCGCCAAAACCCTAAGCCTTGAGCATTAAGCAAATCCTCCGCCGGGTGGACCTGGGCAGTTGTTGGTCTTCGTCAAGTCCATTGCAAGTGCAGAGGAGCCAGGAGCTTAGAATGAGCAGCTGCTGCGGCTGGTGTTGAAACTAAGAGATAATGGGCTGAAGCGCCACTAATGATTTTCAAAGACGATTTATGTGTATACATTCGTCGGCTCCCCTGTGCCTAGAATTCTAGGCAGATTGAGCATCAAGAAGGATTGGAGTTAAAAGGAAGGACTCAGCACTAGAGCATGATGCCTGGCTTTTCCACTGTATTCCGACATGTGAGCTTCTAAATCCCGGTCATTATGTATCCTAAGGTGACACGCCTACCACCCCATAATCTGCAAGAGAACGCAAAGCTCCACACCGAACCACTAAAGCCTAAAATCCCCAAAAACTGGACACTAAGCACTAAAACGTTAAATCCTACACCCTACACAGCCTCAACCCTAAAACCTTAAGACCCTAAACCCTAAACCCAATACCTTAAACAACTTGTGTTTTCACCTAGGATCTCGCAGAATTTCCAAGATTTCTTGGAAAAGAAAACCGAATTTTTGCATGGAGACCTGGATCAAGGCGGACCTTATCATGATCATAGGGGGTTTAGGGCTCAGGGCTAAGGGTTTAGGGTTGGGATGTGTAGGGGTTAACGATTACATTACATAGGGATGGGTAGGGAAATATGGGGATTATATAGGCGACTGGTATGTTACCCAATAATGGGATTACATACAGGAATGGACAAGAAAATTGAAACTATTCCATTCTTATGACCTATAGTAAGAACTCCTAGTGCCCTTTTAATCACCCATGGTACTCCCCTGTATAGCCCCCTGTAAGGAGTTTAGGCTACAGACTATGGCTCTTATGGATTCTACATTGGGATTCCCCTGTTTGGGGAAACTAACATATGTTGTGCAGTTCAAGGGATGAACCTTTCCAGAAATTCCCATCGCAGAGGAAGTGGCAAAGGTTGTTTCTGCTTGACTTCCATTTACAGTGACCACAAGGGATAATGCTACTTGTACCCCCCTTCCTCTATATTCCCATTATATCACTGCTAGTAAGTAGTTTCCATAAATAGGGGGACCACAATATAGACCTAGAATACTTTGTCCCCTATACTGAACTGGGCATGCTGGAAAAGGTACCCGGTAGGTGAGGGGAGAACCTGGGCTATGTCAGGTGAGCGGATGCGCATTCTACGCAACGTCAGGAAGCGACACTTGGCAAGATGGATTTGGTAGTTTCCCTAAATAGAGGGATCCCGCTACAGATCCCAAAATACTATAGTCCTCATTATAGCGACCCCTCGTGATGGAGTGGGCGCCATCCTCATGTAATTAAGGCAAATTCAGGAGCGGAGGCACCTTATGTAAGCCTTATCTATGCAGTATGGCTCAGCATGACCCCTCCTTAGCCAATGTAGCCGCTGCATACATCCTGAACAAACTCTCGCCACTAGAGATAGATGGGCGTTTAACCAGACCCCGGATATTTACGGTAGGGCTCTCACGGCATTTTGTTTGGCTTTGGTGAAGGGCCTCCCTAAGAACATTGATGAAGACATGTGTACATTGCGGCGTAGATGCATTTGATTTGGGGTTGGGGGCAGGCATGGGTTTGCACACATCCTGAAAACACATGAAGTGAATGGCTATCCCCTTTTCAACCATACTAACAAGACTAACAATATCAGTCATGCTAATAGTACCAATAGTACTACTAATGCTCTTCCACTGCCATGAAACTTTCAGGAGTGGTGGATGTGCTGATTGCCACAGACGTTGCTGCTCGAGGCACGTCGCCGGTATAAGCTCTATGTAACGGCCCTACAATCTCCTTTCTTAAACATACCCCAATTCTGGGAAACCCCATAAAATCTGCAGTGGGTGCTCAATGTGCGTAGACAGAAACTTCTCAACAGCTTGCGTCCCCCATGTACCCCCAAATACTATGGTTCCTATAAATGGGAGCCCCAGACCAGGCTCCACAGATTTCTTTGGTGGCTCAAGGAGAGGCCCATATCATACTTGCTGGCACTACTGACCCAGTCTTCCAGCGGTACTGGCCAGTATTTCTGCCACATTCAAATACATCGACTTGTGTGTGTGTGTGTCTAGATCTAGTCTGTGGATACGTAGATGATGTGACAGTCATAGTGTTGGGTCTTCATTCCTTCTGAACCTCAAACCTAGTCTACCATAAAACTGGGTTGCTGTTAAGGAACTTAAATTAAGTTACCATAATGGGTATATACAGTAAATAATAGGATTTCCCCAATATAGTAACTTAATTTAAGTTCCTTAACAGCAACCCAGAAAAAAACATTCTACCAGGCCTTGATCTCCCATCCATTTTCACCGTGGTGTCCTACGACGCTGCGAGGGATATCGAAACGCCGACTCCTGAGTTTCAATCAGGTATATAGAGTTTTATAGGGTTATATAGGGGTACGTAGTAGAAGAATGTGTGTGTGTATATAGAAATATATACCCTGCATTGATGATACAATTCCTCAAAATCGGACCCTGGCTTGCAACACATGCGCAGGCACACCCACCGAATAGGCCGTACTGGGCGCGCCGGTGCGGCAGGGGAGGCAGGTGAGCAGTACTTCAACCACGGATTGTGTACCCCCATCATAAAAAGAACAACTCCCCGTTTGGTTGAACAACCGAAACATCCAGCAGTCCTTGGAATTCCCTAGTGATGCAGCTAGACTCAGCGGCGCTGCTGGCGCCGTGAACAACTGGGTATGGCCAAGACAGGGCGCAAGCGAAACAGAGACGTGCAGCACCACCAGAGTCTGCAGCTATATCAGCCATAATCCAAACTCCTTAAAGGGGGGTAATGTAGGGGAGTATTTTAGGGGTTATTATGGGGATACTAGGAGTTTAGACTATGGCTCATATGCCTCAAAGCATACCATACCCAAACCCAATCTTCTTGAAACATGCCAGGCTTGGTCGTAGAGTTTGGGCATGGCCCTGATCTAGTCCGGTTTCAAGTTTCTACTAGGGGTGTACATTGCTGCACCTTTGAAAGCTGAAGCTACAACCGTATCATTTCTCGCTTCGGACATTTGAGCCAAGATGTGAACACACGCAGGCAGCACACGCAGGCAGTGTTCCTGCACATTGCATCTGTGCGCAGGCCTACACACTTCTCACCAATGATGACCAGAACAAGAAGATGGCCGCTCTACTAGCAAGGGCCTGAGGCATGAAGACCCGCCAAAATGACGCCCTCAATTCGTCAAGTAAAGCCCCCCTGGTATGATTAGAGAACCACACTTTTCTGAGGGATTCGTGGCAGGAGTTTGCGCAGGTCTGATTGTACTCTGGCAACTGAAGGCTTGACTGTAAGCCCAAGCAGTGAGACAGTACTGGTCCTTTGTTTTTTGCTGTTTGTTCTCTTGTACCAAGACTCCGGAGCTGCAAGCGAGTGCCTGCATACCGGCAGATCACTCAAGCAGGAGGGTCGAACGAGCATTCAACCCTCATCCAACCACATGAAGTATAGGACAACAGCCTCCAACAACCCTCAAAGCCCTACCTAAACCCTAGATAGTAGTTTCCATTTTTTCCATCATCCCAATATAATCCCAATATTGTAGACCTTGCAGGATGCCTACCATAATCCGAAGCATCAACAGCCCATAAACCCGTTAAATGTGTCTTCTGAGGTAGAGAACCTGGAACAAGCTAACCAGGCGGTTCCAGAAGACCTGAAGGCCGAGCGTTTCGGAATCATAAGAACGGTGACTGTTTATTATGGTATACTATAGTATATTTCGGTATCTTCTGGTATATTGTGATATATTATGGTGTATTATGGTATATTATGGTATACTATAGTTGCCTTTCCCCAAGGAAGGGAAGGACAGGCCAATTTCCGGCTTCCATGGTAATCTGCTGGTAGTAGTGGGTAGTACCAGTTGCCAGTCCTTGCTGCCATAAATGCCAGTCCTTGCTGCCAGAAATTTCCCGTGGTGTTGCCAACATAGATTCTGCCACAGATGGAAAGGCATGGTCTGAAACCTGAGAATTCCCTTACGTTCACTACGTGCAACAGTGAGCAGCTGTACTTGGAGTCTCATGGACAGTTAAAGCCAAAGCGGTCGAAGAGGTTTTCTCAATAAGTTGAACACCACTTCTACCCACATAGTACTAATTATCCATGAACCTGAACCCGAAAACAGGGCCTGGCGATGAAGTACGGCCCCTTCCGGGCTGCAACCTCGGGTGGCAACAGCAGTAGCAGCGGCAACAAAATGCGTCCCTGGTTGGTCGTTCCTTCTCCAGGATATCCGACACCCCTCAGCGGGAGGAGCCCAAATAGTTTGAGGGTCATGTTCCATGTTGGGGGTTGAGGGGGTTGTTGAATACGGAAGAAAAAGGACGACACTGGTGGCTTGATGCAGGGTTCGCAGCTTGCGAGGAAGCTTTAGACAGCGCTTTGAGGGCTCACGTGAATTGAGGGGAGCTGCGGCAAAGCATCCTATGATGAGCTGACATGAGGGATCCCCCAAAACTCCCCAACATACCATCATCCCATGATGGGTACCCCAGAAGAGTACCAGCTTGGAAAGCTCCACACGAAACCGCTCTAGAGATTGCAAAAGCCCCTAGGATGTGGCTCAAGGGAAGAATTGCGGGTCTTGCTCGACCCTGAAGGCCCCGCCCAACTTTCCAGAACAGTTGGTGGTGCCCAACCTTCCACAAGTTTTGCAAAATCAAAATCCCGCTCCCCTCCCCACATGCACCTTTCCTTGACAGTTGCAAATTAGAATGTGTTGGGAGCATCTTTTTGCAGGAGGGAGCTTGTGACTAAGGAAATGAAGGCCATAGTGGGTCATTGGTAAGCTTTCTTAAGAGGCTACGATTACTCCTATCACCCCCTGTGCCAATTGTTACGTTGAGGGGGAATAGCAAAGAGGCCTGGTTCTTAACCTAAACCCTAAACCCAATATAATCCCTATATATAGTCAACATAGTCCCTGTACTATAACATATTCCCTTTTTCCCTCAGAATCACTTGACCTAAACCCTAAGCCCAATACAATCCCCATATATAGTCCTTATATTTTATCATATTCCCTTATTCCCTAAGAACCAGTAAGGTAGTTTCTGTGTTTCCAAGGCTGCCAAGCTTGAAGGGCGCACCTTCCTTGGCAAAAAGAAGGGTGGCAAGGCATGCGGGGGCCTTGAGGCTGTAGGGGTGTTGAGGTGCTGAGGGGTTGCAGGGTTTAGGGGTGTTATGGGTTTTGGGGTTTTGGGTTTGTTCTTGGGGGGTTTAGGGGTTTGGGGGTTGAGATGTTTGGGTTTTAGGGGCTTTGAAACATGGGATCCTCCGCGTTTGTGGATGTGGAAGATACATCAGACCAGGAGAATCCTACATGAGCATTTGCCCATAAAAAAAATCCCCCTCAAATGTCAAACATTGCCACCTAACATAATCCTTATTGTAGGGCTCCGGAAAAAACCTGGAATTCTTAGATCCTATGCTAAACTTCAATCTAGCAGATCCTCAGGAACTTTGAGATCCTGCATCACACTTGCATGTTGTATTATTGCAATTCTTCCTATGCTGGCTGGGCAGCTCACATTCCTCGCTGACGATTTGTCTTGGGGGTGTCGTGAGATTTTTGACTGTGTTCTACTTGTGACAGTCAGCCGCCTCCTGGCAAGGCAGAAAAAAGTTCGTTCGGAGTAGGCTTCGACGTTGCCTCACGCCAGAAGGAGACTGTCCAGGACCTTCGTGCTCCCCAGTTATGCACGGCTTTCATGGATGTATAGGGGATGGATTTTGCAGAATAGGTGGTTCTTTCTTGGAGGTCAACGTAGGAGGATTTTTTGGTGGGGTTGAGGGGCTGTATGCAGGAGTGTGACCAATTTTGAAAAGTGTCATAGCAACGCTTGGGTGAATGTCTTTGAAGCTAGGGGCATTTCCCGAGATGAGTGGTTTGAGTGTTGGGGAAGGGGTGATAAACAGCGGCCAATCAAGATTTGCGAGCCATTCCGGAAATCCCTGGCACTCTTGGGGACACTGTAGTTTTTGGAGCTCCAGCTACTACTTCTTCAGCACGCTCACAACTATTCATCTTGGCTGCTTTTTCTTTCTGAGGGCATCTGCAATGCACTGCAAGCTTCACACCTCAGAGATCTCCTGAAGCAGCTTGCCTTGTGTGTACGCAGGTCGCACCCACTTTGAGGGGAAGCGAGAACGCATGGCGTTGAGAGAAAATCGCATGCAATGCTTCTTCCTCGCGTTGCCAAAATCCTCTCCCATTCCCCCTGAGGCACTAGTCACTTGCATGCTGATGTCCGGAGGATCTTGCCAAACGGCTGGACAAGGAGGCAGACCAGATGGCCGCTAGGTGCCCAGTGCCCTCTGCGCAGACGGGTTTGGGGTCAAGGCGATAGAGGGTTAGTGCGTTTTTTGGTGTGTGGGATCTTAGGAGTTTGGGGCAGAAGAGCTTCAACATATGCTTGAAGATGCTGCGTGGGGACTTCAGAATTCAGCCTTCGTGTAAGAGGCACATGATTGTTGGGCATGTGCATGTTGCAGGACAGAATCCTCCAGCGTGATAATTCGGATGTGCGCCCGAGGCTCTGAACCGACAGAAGGCCAGTGGTGGCATGAGAGCAGGCAGGCAGCCCAAGTTCTCGGTCTCAACAATTCCCCCCTACCAGTACTGTACCCTATGTTGTTGTGGGGGGGGGGGGAGGGTGGTCGAAATTATTGTCCCTTGTTGAGTACAAAGCAGGACCATAGGCGTGAGAACCTTCCATATAAAGAAGAAACAACACAGTCGAAGAGGTGTTTGGAGGTTATGACCGATGGTTTTGTGCAGTGCAGCATGGGAACGTCCCAAACCGTCAGGTCCGTGTGGTTTGGGGGTTTAGGTTTCAGGGTCTGAGGGGTGTAGGGCTCAACTGATCTGACATCCCTGGAGGCTCGGCTAAGAGCCCTAAGGCGCCAAAGCCTAGGGCCTAAAACCCCTAACATACAACCTCAGAACCGGAAATCCTGAAGCCCTGAAACCCCAACCTTCAAACCCCAAAAGCCCCAAACTCGAATCGCTTCTCTGCCAAAAACCTACGCTAGACCCTATAGTTCCCCTTAAGTAGGTAAAATATGGGCAATATGGGCATATGGGGATCTTATTATAACATACCCAAAGCCATAGTCTATCAACTTAAAGGGGGATAATAACCCGAATATATACCCTATTATAATACAGTAACATAGTAGTTTCCATGTTCTTCTCCATTATCCCCATATAATCCCAATAATATACCCCATATTCTATCTACTTCAGGGGGACTATACCCTAAACCCTAAACCCTAAACTCCATATTCTATCTACTCAACGGGGGCTATACACCCTGTGACATGCAAGCTTCAGGTCCCAACCGCGTGCTGGCAAAGACTGGCTTCGTGGCGGCTGCTGTCTCTGAAGCGCCCAAAGATCTGGCTACTCAGGTCCTGTTTCGGGTTTACGGGTTTAGGGGTTTAGAGGGGTTTAGGGTGTAGAGTTTATGGGTAGGGGTTTTGGATCAGGGGCATAGTGTGAGATATAAGGATTTAATGGAGAAGAAAATGGAAACTACCCACTTGGGGTCCAGGATAATCGAAGAAGCTGCCAAAGGTCTGGCCACTCAAGTGCCCGTTTTCAGGGTTACATGTGTTTGGGATTTGGCTTTTCGGGGTCGCAGGGGTTTAGGGTTTCGGTGGTTACAAGGAAAGACAGTTGTGCATTGCTATCAGGAGATGTGTGCAGAATTTTTCATCGCTACTTCCAGCTTCACAGTCTCCCTAAATCGGCGCTCTTGTCAGCATGAGACAGCAAGCCCCATGAGCTCTGCCTTCCGTATAATTACTGGCTTGCTCTGCAGGACTGCAAGCTAAGTTACCATGGTACAGATGTATGGTGATATGGTTTCCTTATCATGGGAACTTCAGCTTCAATACACCGGCCCAGCGTAAAAATCCCTATGGGCACCACACCCCAGACATGACCCCTGATTTCCCACGTGTCTTCGCAGGGGCCAAAGAAGGACGAGGAGTCCTCCGATGAAGATCTCTTTGCCCCAGGCGTGTGGCGCTTGGCCTACCCTGTAACGCAAGCCATTGAGGAAAGATGTCAGGCGGACGGTATGGGTCTTTTATGTTGGGGGGCATTTGTTGTAGGGCATATGAAGGCTTGTGCGGCCAGCTTGGCGAGCAGCTATTGGCAGATTACATGGCAGCCATCAATCTGTTGAACATTTTAGAAGGTTCTCAGGAAACAGATGCAGACTGTGCCGGATGACGTCTGAATTACTTTAATAACCTTACATGGTATGTTTAAAACGTTCGGTTTCTTTGCGGGTCTCGAGAAGAGCCCGCAAAATCTGTGTATGCTCCCGTGAGCCCTGAGCCCTAAAGTGTGAACCCTAATCCCCAGATCCTGAGCCAAAAATCTTGACCCCCGCCGCATGTCACATGCATAGTGTCAAAGATCCTGCGCCCAGCGAACCTCGTGGAGTTTGCCCAAGGATCCATTGAAAATCCCCCACCCGCTGTGAGACATTGCCTCCAGCCTCCAGGGCTTCAGGCCTGCAGGGGGCTTCCTGAAAGTAAATCCTAAACCCTAAACCCCTTAGACCCTAAACCCCCTAACATTCCCTAAACCTCCTAAGCCCTAAAAACCCTCAGACGCCCCCAGATTCTGAACCCTCCCTTTGCAACCCTGGGTCGTTGTTGAAGATGGCTCCTAATTTGCTGGGTTGCTATTAAGGAAGTTAAATTAGGTTCCTATATTGGGGAAACCCTATTATTTACTATATATACCCATTATGGTAACTTAATTTATGTTCCTTAACTCCCTATATTCCCCCAGTTTCCATTTCATTTTCCATTTTATTTTCCATTTGATTCTCCACTATATTATATACCCATTATGGTAACCCTAAACCCTAAACCCCTTATGGTAACTTAATTTATGTTCCTTAACAGCAACCCAGTTTGTCCCAGGTAACAAGCGCCTTTGGCCGGCCTGCCAAGGCCAAGGTAGCACCTGCACCCAGCAGGCGCCAGAAGAGGGAAGCTGACGTGAAAAGATTTGAGGGTGTAGGGTTTAGGGTTTAGGGTTTGAGGATTTCCCAAAATTAGGGATACCTGTAAAGGGGTTATGTAGGGGTTATATGGGGATTATATAGGGCTTAGGGTTCTCCAAAATTAAGGGTACCTTGAAAGGTGTTATACAGAGGTTATGTAGGGATACCTTTAAAGGGAACATACGGGTTATGTAGGGGTTATATGGGGATTATATAGGGCTTAGGGTTTTCAAAAATTAGAGGTACCTACCTTTTCGGGGCCCCCCATCATAAGGACTATAGCAGTTTTGGGTCTATATTGGGGTCCCCCTGTTTAGGGAAACTCCCATTTGAGGCTTTCTCAAAAACGGGGTACCCTTGTTGCCAGGTTCAGGGTAATTAGAAATACTTACAAGCTATATTAATAACCCAAGTATATCTAGGATCACTGTAGATATGGGACTTGGAATTGGGTCATAACTGCAGCTCTTCAGGAGGTTGCAGATTCGGGCACACGTGCGAAATACTATAGGATGATTGTGGTCCCTAGAAAGGATTGCATAGGGAACACCATGAGAAACTCCCATTTTACTTTGTGGCGGGGCCATATGATCTGGAGATATTGCATTCGATGTATATCAAAATTGGGATAGGTTTTAGGGTCTGGGTATCTGGGCCAAGCTCAAAATTAAGGGTCCATGTTTGAGACGTGAAGTAGCTGAAAGGAATTAAACCAGGGGCCTTCTTAGGGGTCGACATCATGTTAACGATGATAGCTGATAGTTCTAGGCCTTTAATTGCTAAGCCTCGACTTCTGATTGGCTTCTTCGACAGATTGGGCTGTTGCATTGCAGCAGGCCTCAGGAAGCCCCGTCATCGCTTCAGATCATGAAGACATGGTGGTAACCAGAACATGGTTTCTGGAACGCCGTACCCCCGAAGGTCTACACAAGTTGTGAGGCTTCGCTAGACCTCAACAGACCTCAACTTCCAATGAGCAGGCAGTGACATGCGGCTAGGCCATCAATCTTCCCAGATCCCCTAATGCATCCCTAACAAAGACCCTGAAAAAGAAGCTCAGTTTCTGTTGATCAAAGTCGGAGATTTCCTGGGCGAATACATATTCTCATCCCCCAACAAGAGGCTCACCTCTCCTGTAGCATTCTGTGATTTACCAGTTAAACCGAAGCCCAACGCTTTGTAAGTTCATGAACTCCTTCCAATCCCTGAAGAGTAACCCTTATCATACTCCCCTACAATCCCTATCTAACCCCCTTTAAGGAGTGTACACTGTAACTCGCATCCCTGAAGAGTCCTGAAGCTTCTCAGGGTGGGCCTTGGCTTCACACTGCCTGCTTTGCAGCCGTGCTGCTGCCAGATTTCAGACTCAGGATTTGGCTATTGGGATAATGGAAAAGAAAATGGAAACTACTATAGTATGTTGGGTTTATATTGGGGTTATATTGGGATAATGGAAAAGAAGAAGGTTTAGGGTTTAGGGGTATTCGTTGCCAGGCATGGATTCTTCTCTAGATGACGAGCATGTTTTGATTGTTGTTTTACGGGTGTTTGGTGGATAGTAATTACGAATATGGGCTTTTCTTGAAGTTCGATTCAGGAATGAGGTTCTGGCCGCTCCTATTGGCAAGCAGAAAGCCAGGGTGTGGGGTGGATGAGGCAACATATGCAACCAGAATAAGGGAATATACTATACATAGCGATTATATTCCCTGATTCCTGATTCGGACCCAGTAAGTTAAAGTCCACAAGCAAACAAAGTTTGGAAGCACCATGCTTGTGCCAGGCAGCTGGGACAGATACAGCCACAAGCCAGCCGAAGCCTGAGAGTGAATCCTATTGAGGTTTTAGGGTTTAGGGTTTTAGGGTTTAGGATTTAGGGATTAGGGTATTAGGGTTTAGGGTTTCAAGTTTATGGTCCCCCTTAAGTAGATAGAATATGGCTGTGGGTATATTAGAATAAGATCCCCATACACCCCATATTCTATCTACTTAAGGGCGACTATAGGGTTTGGGGCTCAGATTACAGGATCTTAGTTTCTACGCTATTCCCATACTACTCCCCTTTGCCTTCTCTTATAGCGTCGATATGCCTCTACTGTCCCTAGGGTACCCCTATCATGTCAAATGTATTTTCCAGAGTGCCCGCGGTACTCAGTCAGCGGGTTCGAGTTGGACTAGAAGGCGTTCAAACATGATGCGGCCAAAGGCCAGAATTTTTTGATGTTTCTATATAAACCTCGTAGCCTCATGGTCCCTGCCCCACATGATCCTACCAGCTGAATGTACTGCAGCAGCGACGTCCAGCCGAGGCCCTCAGCCACATCCGCAGGCTGGGCGAGGGATCGGGAAGTGAGTCTGCAGCAGCTGGGGATCAGGGTTTAATGTTTCACGTCTAGGTTTTAAGGTTTAGGGCAGTTTATGGTTCAGGGTCTAGGGTAAGTGTTCAACTCTTGCAAACGAGAGTGCGGAAGATAGTCCGGCGAATCAAATAGAGTCTAAGAAGAAGGGTTTCTATTTGCTGCCCTAACATGAACTTGGCTTCCCGCGCTGATGCTCATATATTCCCCATATATATCCGGTAGCAGTACGCCTTTGGGACATTTCTGAAATCCTTATATGACCCCTAGATTACCCCTATAGAACCCATTATAGTAAGGAGCCCCCAAAATCCCCGTATAAATCCCCAAACATCCCCAGGCTCCCCCAGAGGGCCCCAACTCCTATTATCAGTTAGGTCAATCCCCCCCATAGTAATAGCTCCTCAATATGGAGTTCTTAGACCCTTGATATGCCTACAAAAGCCCCTTGTGCTGCCCATGACTGGGTGGGGAATTGACCCAAGTTATCAGGCACTCCATATTTATTCACTCTCGCGCATGAAAAGCATCTTACTGTTTGTGAACAGGGAAAGGAGGAATGGCTCCCTGTAGTAGTTCCCGTAAATCCCCAACAATACTAGTTTCCATTTTCCTGTCCATTCCTGCATTCCCTACTCAGAACCAGTAAGGCATTCGACAGGTGAGTGCAGCAGCTGCGCTTGCGATGACTACATTGCAGACGCCCGCTGTGTCCGCTCCACTCAGCTTTCTGCTGTCACAAGTTGTTTTGTTATGCCTCTTCCCAAAAAAGTGCCCTGCTAACCAGCCCCCCCCCCCCTCCCCCCCCNNCCTACCCCCCCCCCCCCTCCCCCCCCGAAAAAAGCGTGGATGTGATTTTTGCACGAGCCATTCTAGCTTATGGACGCCAAATTAGTTTCTGCCCGTTTCGAGGAGGGAGTTTAGGGGCTTGGAGGTAGTTCCAGAAGCTAATAAGCACCATCTGTGTTTTCTTTGGGTGTTGCTTGTGTTCATGCACGCCCTTCAACGCCCCCCCCCGTCCACGACGAGTGGGAAAATCTCATGGAGCACAATATAGAATGCTTTAAATGTTGAATATTGAGGTTGTCTAGCGCGAGAAGAGATTGAAACGGAAAGAGCTTGGCAGATCCAGCCCTCCTGTGCACGGCTTCAGCGACGCACCGCGGGGCTTCAGCGATGGGCCCCTGGCCCCCCACTCAGAACCAGGCATGTGTGCAGAACGAGTAGCCCTGAATCCTACATGTCACATGCCGTCGAAAAGTAGTATGCGTAGTGCAAGGGTCCGACACATGCAGAGTCTTGCTGTGGCTGCAGAACACTTTCTTGCTTGAGTCATCACGCATAATGCCGCTTTTCCTGGATTGGGCACAGAAAGGGTGCTCATGTTGTCTAGTATCTACCAGCAGAATTCCTGCAAGATCATCTTATAGCACAATTCCGACATAGTTCCCGCATAATTCCCATGAGATTCCCAGATGTGGACGTGTTGCCCAGGCAGCGCAGAGCCGAAAGAGGAGCCGAAGCAGGCCCTGCAGGTTCAGGGTTTAATGTAGGTCCATGATTATAAAACCCCTCCTTTTAAGGGCCTTATAGGGGTAGTATAGTAATATAGGGTGAAGATGGGGGGGAACATAGGGTTTATATCGGGATAATGGGAAACAAAATGGAAACTCCTATTTCGGGTTGTTAATAAGCCCCCTCCTGTTAAGGGCCGTAATTCTAGGATCCCGTGTATAGTGCTTATGAAGGGGAGGGGTTTATCAATCAGGGGTCTGGGTTAGGGTTTAGAGTTCGGGATGATGACGGTAGCAACCATGGTGAGATGGCAGTATTTTTTTGGCGGAAATAGTCCCAGAGTACTGGTATCTGTTTTACGGAGAAGCGGTAGTAGGCAGGGTGGTGATAGGAGCATTGCTATGCGGTCTATGGTCCACACTTAACCCTAAACCCTAAACCAATGGTCCACTGAAGAGATGTTTCCTCAAACTTCAGGTGGTGAGATCTCAAGAGGGAACTCATCTGCGCTTCAGTCTAAACTCCTTAAAGGGGATTATATACGGGATAATATGGGGAAGCATTACGGGACTTATCAGGCGGATACTCGGAGTTAAGACTATAGCTCATTTAAGCCCTTGAACCTGCAGATGTGACCGCCCATTATCCCTGGATGCCCTTGGTATTGCATTATTGCATGGTCCCCAGCGCAGCTCCCTGACAGATATGTAAGATCCCTCAAACAAACTCCCATACTTCCATGTAACCTCACAGTATTCCTGTAGTGGTTACCGGAGATGCTAACCTTTACAAGCAGGTCTCGAGGCCGGCGAAGTCGCGAAAGGCCGGTGGAGGGGTAACGGTTGATGCTAAAAATCCTGCATGACCTTAGTATGCTATGATCCCATTCAGATCCCATTATTTCTCAGGTATAAGGCACTTAGGGTCATGCAGGATTTCTACTATCCACCGAAGCAGTGTATGCGGGAGATTCCAGACGCTTGTTGGGAATGCTAGCATGCCCTAGCGGATCCTATGGTGATTATTTGTCTGGTGCAGGTAGAGTCTGCATGCAAATGAAAGGCAGGGTTGATTGCAGTCCCTGCGTCATCCCTACCACCTTCATGACATGAAATCCCAAACCCCAAGATATCACCCCTATAGAACCCATATACCACGAATATAACCCCGCTATATAACCAATATACCCCCAACATAACCCCAATATACCCCCAAAAGTACCCCAATAGTACCCCTATAGAACTCCAATATTAACACCTCAGTATTACCCCTAAAAAACCCTAATATTACCCCTATATTAACCCAATAGTACCCCTATAAAACCCCTTTAAAGTCCGAGCACAGGTCCCGATCGAGGAGGCGGAGCCGCTCCCGGGGGCGCCGACGCCGGAGGCGAGATGTTGGCTTTTTTGGCTCCTTCGGCGCCTGGAAGATGGGGTTTGGGGTTTGGGGATATTAGGGTTTAGGGGTTGTATAGGAAACTTCTGAAAAGGAGTTATATAGGGGATTAAATAGGGTTTAGGGTCTAGGGATTTAACCCCCAATAATGGAGAATCAAATGGAAAAGAACATGGAAAATGAAATGGGAACTGGGACTATAGGGTAGTTAAGGGATTCGGGCTGTACGAGCTATAGTCTAAACTCCTTCAAGGGGGTTATGTAAGGGAGTATTATAGGGGTTACTAAACTGGATACTAGGAGTTTAGACCACGGCTATATAGGGATATGTAGGAGTTAGGCTTTAGGATTTAGAGTTTGGGGTTTACAGTTTAGGGTCTGGGATTCAGGGTTTAGGGTTTATAAGTTCTGGGGCTTACCGCTTGGGGTTTGGGGTACTACGCTTATGGATCGTTCTGGGCAGTTCCTGGGGCAGTTGTTGGGGCACTTCAATGAGGTTCCTCTATGCAGGACATACGATCATCAGGTTCAACAGGAAAACCTCCTACATTTATGTATGTGAAGCCCCAGAACACGGGCCTAAAGCAGTCTGCTTTCATCATGTTGTGCGGCCATGTGAGCAGTCTCACAGGAATTTGCACATGCCATACGTGGAGAGTGGCCATGTGAAATATTTGTTGGAATCCTATGATACATTGACAAAGAATTGCTATGCCGCAAGTATCAGCGCGAGAAACAACAGTAGTGAATGTCGTGTTTGACCGCTGCAATGCGCCACAACCGCAATCATCGTGATCCGAATGGGGTGATCATGATACTTGACAGCAACAGATATTGCCTTGCAAGAGGAAAGATGATAAGAGTCAGGGACACAAAGATGGGGCGCCGCGCCGCGTATGTGCAGAAGCCGCGGTGCCGTGTCAGGTCGTTTCATGTAGAATGCCCATAAAACCCAATTTATATCTAATTACTCACCAGGACAGTAAAAAACCACGCCGATTACTCGTTGCCCTTGCAATGGCCAGGTCACCATCGTGAAAGTTGTGCGCCGCAGCAAAAGCTCCTGTGATGAGTCTTACCAGGGGTTCTCGAAATTGTGTTGCCGTTTCTACGTTCATAGAAGCATCCAAGGTGTCATAGTTCTCGTGCATGATAATTCCGGTGGTGTGTTGAGTCGAAGCTGGTTTGTAAGCAGCCCTTCAAGCTTCACCACCAAGCCGGGATGCCCCGACATGTCAGGTCAGGACAATATTGAACCTGAATAGCTTGCACATGCTCAGTGCATCAGCCCCTCAAAATGCCTTAAGAATTCATTCTAGCATAATCTATCCCAAGACCACAAGTCTGAATGATTTAGGACTCGACAACCCAACCTCAAACCCGAGTCCGTACCAAACATACCTACACAATATCCCAGCTCGTCCATATTGCGCTCTTGGGGTGCCTACATCAGTCGGAATTTCCAAGCCGCGAGCCATAAACCCTAAACATCCCAGAGCCAAAATCTCGAAACCACGAACCCCCGAACGCGAGGCCTCTATTTTTACGGAGAGCCCCCGTCGTCGTGTTTGCACCTGCTTCCTTAAGTCTTGCAAGCAAGCCCTGCTGCAAGTGAGGTTGGTCATGCGAACCTTTCCAAGCTGTCTAGCCGAGTTGAAGTCTCCCAGATGAGCTATCGTCTAAACTCTAAGCTCCTAGTATTCCCCTTAAATTCTAGGGGTTTAGGGTTGAGGGTCTGAACACTCCTAGTATCCTCCTTAATAACCCCTATAGTAGTCCCCTGTATAACCCCCTATATAACCCCTTTAAGAAGTTGAGATAAGCTCATGCAAGCCTAATCCCTATTAACTACCCTAAAATCCCAGTTCCCATTTCATTTTCCATGTTCTTTTCCATTTGATTCTCCATTTTTGGGTTGTAATATCCCTAAACTCTAAACCCTATCTCATTGCTTATATAACCTTTAAGAAGTTTAAACCATGGCTCAGATGAGATTTCATCGCTTGCGTCTTCTGGCTCCGAGCGTGAGCGTCGCTCCCTTCAGGGAGACCCCCGTGTTGGGCCTGCCTGGGCAGTTGTCCAGCAAGGCAAGGAGTGTTGATTAGGGCCCAGGAGCGCCTAAGGTTCGCAGGATTAGGGTGGGTTTAGGGTTTGGGTTTAGGGTTTGGGGTCAGACAGCTGTTCTCTTTTCAATCATCCGGAAGGCTCCATGGGGGCCGACGCGTAGCTGGGCAGCAGATGGACTTTGCACGTGCTTGGATGTGAAGGTTGTTCGAACATCTAGCAGAAGGATGCAAGCTTCACGTAGCAGAAAGTGAGTGGTCTGATGGTTGCAACAGGCATGCAGGGCTCTTAAAGCATGCGGAAGTTAAGAAGACTGGTGACCTTGATTTTGAGAAGCCTGGGTTGCTGTTAAGGAATTTAGTTTAAGCTACTATATTGGGGAAACCCTATTATTTACTATCTATACACATTATGGTAACTTAATTTAAGTTCCTGAACAGCAAACCAAAGGTAAGTAATTCCCATATATAATCCCAGTTTGGATTTCATGTTCCATTTGATTGTCCATTTGATTCTCCATTGTTGGGGTAATGGAGGATCAGATTTTAAGAAACTCTACATGACCCGTATACAACCCCTATGTAATCCTTATAAAACCCCTGTATATCCCCCGTAACCCCAATTTTGGTACCCCCAACCCTAAACCCTAAACCCTAAATGATTCTGAGAAGCTCCCTGACCAGAGCAGAGGTTGACGCAGGTTCTGTCCAAGCGGAAGCCAAAGACACGCCAAGCCCTGAGCTATGGAGGTTTCCCAAAATTACATTGCGGTCGGAAACAGTGGCCGGAATGGTGCCCGCACCGCCCGCACCGCCCCGC